GTGGAGCCAGCATTTGAACCCAGGCATTCTTTTCTTTTTTAAGTTTTTATTTAAGTAAACTCCACACCCAACGAGGCGCTCAAACTCTCGACCCTGAGGTCAAGAATCACATGCTCTTCCAACGGAGCCAGCCAGGTGCCCCCAAACCCGGGCATTCTGATGCCAGAGTCTAGAGCCTTCTTTCTGGTAGAATGTTCCTTATTTTGGCTTTGCCTTATGTTTCTTCATGATCAGATTCAGGGGATGCATTTCTGACCAGAATACCACATAAGTGACATGTCCTTCTCAAGCATCACATCAGAGGGCACATGATGTCTATCCGCCTCTCGATGGTCACTCTGTCTATAGTCAATGTGGTGCTTGAACTCACAACCCCAAGATCGAGAGTCACACGCTGTACTCACTGAGCCAGCCAGGCGCCCCTCTGACTTTTCTATACGTTAAAAATTGTTTTGGGGCGTCTGGGTGGCTCAGTCGGTTAAGCGTCTGACTTCGGCTCAGGTCATGATCTCACAGTTTGTGAGTTCGAGCCCCACACCGGGCTCTGTGCTGACAGCTCAGAACCTGGAGCCTACTTCAGATTGTGTCTCCCTCTCTCTCAACCCCTCCCCACCCTGCTCATGCTCTGTCTGTCTCTCTCAAAAATAAATAAACATTTAAACAAATTTTTTCAATAAAAACTGTTTTTATTTTGGAACAATTTTTATAGAGATTACTTAAAAATAAAATATTAAAAAAAAAAAGCCACAAAGATAGAGTTCCCACATACCCCTCACTCAGGTTGTTTCTCGTACTGTTATCATCTCCCATTACCATGGCCCATTTGTCAAAATCAAGAAGACATCAGTACATTACTATTAAACTCCAGACTTTCTTCAGACTTCACCGTTTTTTCTTTAAAGTCCTTTTTCTTTCCTGGATCCAATCCAGAACATCATATAGCATTTTGTCATGCCTCCTTAGCCTCCTCTTGTCTGTTACCGTTTCCCAGTCTTTCCTTATTTTTCCTGACTTTGACAGTTTTGAGAGGTCCCAGTTAGGTATTTGGTAGAATGGTCCTCAATTGGTCTGATGTGTTCCTCGTGATTTGACTGGAGTAATGGGCTTCTGGAAAGAATACCAGAGAAGTGTCCTTCTTATCACATTACAGAAGCCTTTTAAAATTTTGTGGGCATGTGTGTAGATCGTCTTACAGCCACCCAAGACAAGCTTCATATGTAAGTTCCCTTGTTGAATGGCTGTCACCAGCCTGGAGTGGCCTTTCTTTGGTCTCTCTCCGCCCTCAGAATATGGGGGGTGATGTTAGAGTTCACCTGGGATGCCCCCAAGGTGGTTGCAAACCAACACCATGTTACTAGGTCAAAACTAGAAACCATATGACTGACCATGTCTAAAGATGCTAAAAGGGGGGCACCTGGGTGGCTCATCCAGTTCTGATTCTGGCTTCAGGTCATGATCCCAGGATGGTAGAATCGAGCCCTGCATCAGGCTTTGTACTGAGTGGTGGAGTCTGCTTAAGATTCTCCCTCTCTCTGTCTCTCTGTCTCTCTGTCTCTCTCTCTCTCTACTGCCCCCATCCCTCTCCCCTGCTCGCACTTGCTTTCTCGTGCTCTCCCTAAAAAAAAGTTAGGGGCACCTGGGTGGCTCAGTCAGTTAAGCCTCTGACTCTTGATCTCGGCTCAGCTCATGATCTCACGGTTGTAAGCCCAAGCCCTGAGTCAGGCTACACGTTGTCAATTCAGAGCCTGCTTGGGATCCTCTCCCCATTTCTCTCTGTCCCTCCTCCACTTGCTCTCTCTCTCTCAAAATAAAAAAAGGAAAACATTTTTAAAAACCAATAAAGAAGAAAGCAGATCTGAGAGATTTAAAAAAAAGCTCAGTCCAGGTAACATTCTCTAAACTGCTGGATGCAGCCATGCCTGAAGCCATCTACTTGTAAGAGTCAATACGTTCCCTTTCTCCCCCACATGCCCACCATTCCACCATCCCAAAGCAGATTGGGTAGGATTTTATATTACTTGCACACAGAAAGTCCTAATTAAGATACCAGATAAGTTTTTCAGTTGAGATAAGGCAATTTAAAAACCTTCATGAAGGGACATCTGGGTGGCTCAGTCGTGAAGCATCTGACTTCAGCTCAGGTCATGATCTCATGGTTCGTGAGTTCGAGTCCCACATTGGGTGAGCTCAAGCCCTGCTTTGGGTGAACACAAACCCTGCTTTGGGTGAGCCCCGCTTCTCTCTTTCTGCCCCTCCTGGGATTCTTTCTCTCTCTCTCTCTCTCTGCCCCTTGCTCACTTGTGCCCTTTCTCTCTCTCTCTCTCTCTCTCTCTCTCTCTCAAAATAAAATAAAATAAAATAAAATAAAATAAAATAAAATAAAATATACATGAGGAAAACTGTGAGATACATAATCCCATCTATAATTAGCTGAGGAACATGAAGGAACTCAGAGGAACAATGAGCAGGATGGACCTGGAAAGGACCTGAAATACAACAAATATATATTGAGTACCTAGTATGTGCTTGGTATTGTTCTAGGCACTGAGGATACTGAAGTGAACAACAACAAAAAGACAAAAATCCCTGCCCTCTTGGACATAATTCTAGAATGTTGGGGGCAGGGGAACAAATTTAAAAATTATATAGTACTCTAGAAGGTGATAAAGGCTAGGAAGAAAAATAAAGAAGGGAGAATAGAGAATGCCAGCTTGTTTCTGAAATCTTCACAAGTGAGCCCATGAAAGAGTGCTTATTCATCACAACTTTAGCACAAAGAGGTTAAGTGATTTGCTCAAAGTTGTCAACTGCAAGTGGCAGAATGGGAATCAGAAAATAGGGAAGAAGTTATAGGACCTTTAATCTCTCTCCCAGGTTAGACTGCCTCCCAGCCCAGGAGTCTTTTAACTGGCAAATTCACTCATCTTTCACTGGGGTTATTATTATTGATCTCTTGTCCTGTGACCTGAGGTCATACATGGGTAGAAATGGCTTTTGACATTACTGACCGTCCTTCCTCTTCCAAACCTTTCTCTTGACCTCAGTGACACTGATGTTCTGGTCCTGTTTCCTTTCCCCTCAAGGGACAAATTAGTTTGCCCCTTTTGATTCATATTCCTCTCACCACATGAATATGGGTCACCAACTAGAACTCACCATATTGAACTCTATCAGGGAACACCACTCATTTATATCATAGTCTTGTGAGTCGTTCAGTATGGAGCTTGGGCAGCTGTATACAACAGCCCTATGCCTTTTGCACTTCCCTTATCTATGCTACTGGCTTCCGTTCCATTTCTGCAGATTCTCCCCAAATTTCATGGGTAGCTTCTGCCCTGCACCATTGGAGAAAATGGTAAAGCACCCTGCATCCCCACCCACCCATCCTTGCAAGAGGTTCTTTACCTCTCTGTGCCCACAGCCATCAGTGGGGGCAGAGACGGTGGATATTTTGTTAGCACCACCAGCACACAAATCCACAAAGAATTCTTTTGGTAGATGGTCTCTAAGGTTAGATATTGTCTCGTTAGACACAATTGTTAGATATAAATTGTATTGACATCTAAATAATTTCTGGACTTGGTTAGAAGCAACTTGTAAGCTTCTTATAACTCTAAAACCTACAACTTGACATATTTCTGCGTGCCAAGCTGGGTAGGCATATTATTTCATTCATTCCTCATAACTGTGTGGAGGAGACATTACATTGCTCATTTGTCTAAGATTCAGAGAGTTCCTGTGATCTAAGATCACGCACTGGTAGAAACAGAATTTGGACCCAGTCCGTTGGACCTCAAAGATCATGCTCCTTCTGGTTGCGTAAGCTGCCCCCAGTATCACCTAGCACCATGCTGAGTACAGGACAGTAATAATTAAAACTATTTCAATATACAGCTAAAAAAAATCTTATCCTATGCACAATTCCACTTACCATTCAGTAATAACCCTGAGAGGTAGGTAGTAGTGTCATCCTTAGATTTTGATACAGAAACTGAATAACAAAAGACAAAAAGTTTTCTGAATCATTTAGATACAAAGGAGAGCCAGGATCCAAACGCAAGTCTTCTCCAGGTACTTCATTCTGAGCCATGCTCTGTGTTGTTTGATACAGAACATGTGAGCTAGGGAATGAAGGGTTAAGGACAATGCCTTTTTCCTTTAATAGCCTATAGTCTCCTAGGCACTGAAGTATGTGTTCATTCGTGCAATATTTACTGAGCACCTAGTATGTGCCAGGCGCTGAATATGAAACAGTGAACAAAGGCTGTCCCAATTACTGAACTCCCGGAGCTTGCATTCTAGTGGAAGACAATTTCAGACAGTAAGTGCTACAGGATAATGTGGTAGGAAATAAGGGGTAGGTAAATTTAAATAGAGGTCAGAGAAGCCATATCTGAGGAGGTAACATTAAATGAATGCATCAAGAGGCAACCTGCTGATAGATTCGTTGTTTGATATCAAACTTAGTTTTTGTTGGCCATTAGGCTGTTTATGGGTTTGAATACCCTTTGTACCTCATATTGCAGATGCCCTGTTATGCCCAGAATTCGTGATCCCCAAAGACCACCAAGGAGCCAAGTCCGATGCAAAAGCAAGGAGCCTTTATTCAAGCTATCTCGAGCTCAATCTCCTACCTGCACCGACGCAGCGGTGAGATGCCGGAGAGAGAGCGAATTTCAAAAGCACAAAGGCTTATAGGAGTCTAGGGGCAGTTGGTGGGGTGATGGTCACGGCCTTAGCCAATTAGCTGGGGAAGAATCAGAGTCCTGTTGCGCAGGTTGCCGGGTATGGTTTGAACGGGAAGTTTGAACAGGTGAGTGGGAAGTTACTCAAGGGGAGGTGGTTTTAGCGGTGAGCGGGAATTTCTTTCTGCGGTTTTCCCAGAAAAGGGGGCCATGTCGGGGACAGTCACTCAAGATGGAGGACACAGGACAAGATGGAGTTGGCCGGCCTAGGTCCACTCTTTCATTCCCCCCTTGTCATGTAGCTTATGGACCCAATCATGGGACCGGCTGCATTTCTGTTTTGTCTTCTTCTGTTACTAGGGGCTTGTACTGAGCACGGAGGACCATTAGTTGGACGGCTCCCAAGCGGTCCCTGACAAACTGGACCAGCCTGTTGATGATACAGGGTCCGAGGGTTACTAGTAGGAGCAGGATGGTGAGGGGTCCAGCAAGGGCCGAGGTGAGGGTAGTTAACCAGGGAGACCAGTTGAACAAAGACTCGTACCAGGACTGAGATTGTTCTCTCTCTAACTTTCATTGTTGCAGCCCTTCCCTTATGAGGGCCATAGATTCTTTTACGACCCCCGAGTCATCAACATAGAAGCAACATTCTTCCCCTAGGGCTGCACATAATCCTCCTTGCTGCATGAATAATGTCTAATCCCCTTCTGTTTTGGAGTACTATTTCTGATAAAGAAGTAAGGGATTCCTGTAAATGAGAAATTGATTTCTCAATTCTTTCTATGTCTAAGTCAATGGCTGCCCTTAGGGTTCCGTAGTTTTTGTCCTGGATGACGAGTGAGGATATTCCAGTCCCTGCCCCCGCTAATCCCAGTCCCAAGAGCACAGCCACAGTTAGGGTTGTAATAGGCTCTCTTTTACTTCGGGGGTTAGTAGAGCCTAACCTGTTAAGAATTTTTTCCCCCGAATGGTACACTAGCTTGGGGATCAACTGCAGGAGTATGCAGAAGCCTTCCTTCGAGGAGTTAAGGACTTGGGAGTGGACACAGGGAGTGAGGTCGGTGGAACAGGCCCACCATGCATTTTTGGGGGGAAGTAGATACACTGTCTCCCTGGGGACTGTTAGGGTTTCATTACAGAGATGTGACTGCCCCAGGGGGCATGTGGCCTATGCAAGTGCCCTGTCCTGTTATTGCCTGGAGGGTTAGTCTTACAGTAGCCTGCTGCCATCTGCAGGAGTTAGAGTTGGAGGCTGTTGTAAAATTGCCTTTAATGGCAATATCTTCGTAATGTGGGGGCCGGACATCTAGACAGAGCCAACAGGACTTGGTCGGGTCAGGCCTAGAAGTGTTTAGTACCTGGTATGCTCCGTGCTCCATAGGGGGTCTGTATCAGATAGTAAGTTGTGACCCGGGGCAGGAGATGTGGGTGACGCTCCGGTAGGGACAGGGGATGTGGAGGGCTGTGTGGCCAGAGCCTGGGTGTTTCTGGGCGTGGCCGTCCGGGCGGGGGCAGGTCGGGGAACTAGTACTTGGTTGGGTCCTACCCCTGTGGGCGACTGCTGGGCAAGGGGGGTTGCTTGCATTCGGAGGGTAAATAACATTCCTTTATCTCTAGGCCCAAGTCTGACCTTGTCATAAAGCCTGACCCCCCAGGTTTTTCCAGCTTCCCACCCTGTTGCCTTTTTTCCTTGTTCTGTGAAAGATATTGACACAGGATTACCATGGCCCGAGACATATGGTGGTCGGGGGCCACTGGGCCGTGTTACCACAATGAGATCTCCGGTGAGTGGTGGGGTCCACCAGATGTGTCCAGTGGTGACACATGACCAAGAGGCACAAAAGTAGTCTGCCGCATCCCCACAAGTGTCCCCATGGTCTTTTCCACCGGGACAGACATAGAAGTAAAAGTCTTGTCGCCTGAACCCTGTGGTATCAACCCTGGGGTGGCCAGTATAAGGGGGAAACAGGCTTTCTAAGTCTACTTG